GGGTAAGCTTTGCCCTCCACAGTCTTTAGAAATGGAAAATCTTGCTTCATTCTACCTGGGAAATACATTAGATCTTATGCATAGTAGTTCTCGACTTTTGTTGCTGAACCAATTTTAAACAGGGATTCCCAAACTCCACTCCTGGAGATAATCATGCATTCATTTACTCATTCATTGAACAAATATGCACTAAATACCCACTTTCCACATGCCAGATGCTAATCTAGATACTAGGGATATGGTAGTAAATTATATAGACAAGGTCCCTGCCTCCTGGAAACTTACATTCTAGTAATGGGGGATAAAGACAGTAAGTTAACATATGAATAAGTATAAAAAATGCCAGATAATGACAAGTGATATGCAAAGACTTAGGAAGATGCAGAAGACAATTTCAGTTTGATGGCCAGGGAAGGCATCTCAGAGAATGCTCTAAAGTAAAGCTCACCATGTGAAGGTCTGGAAGAATGATCAAGGGCCCAGGTCAAAAATGATTTGGCCCAAGTGAAAGAAAAAACTCAAAGATGGAGGCAGGGGCTGGTTCAGGTCACCCACTGGAAACCAGGCTAAGGAGTATGGATTTTATTCTAAGAGTTAAGGGATACCATGTTGCTAAGCAGAGAAGTGACTTGATCTGATTTGCAGTTGTGGGAAAATGGATTGGAGGGGCAAGAGTGGAAGCAGGAAGTCCAGTCTGGAGGGTATTGAGGTGGAGGTGGAGGCTGAGAGTAGGCTAGCACTAGATGAACTTGGAGTTAGAGCCCAGAGTTCTGCTGATGGTCAGGATGTGAGGGAGAGCGAGAAATCTAGCACAACTTCTAGATCTTTGGTGTGAACCACGGAGTGGATTGTGTATTGAGATCGTGTATTGGATTGTGTGGGAGGACTGAGGAGCAGCTTAAGGGAGAAAGAAAATCAAAAGTTCTCCTTTGGCCCATGTAAACTCAAGATGACTGCTAGCTATTCATCGATAAAGAAGGAATAAACAAACATTCAGATGCAAGAATCTGGTGTGAGTTATCCCACTGCAAGTATAAATTCAATAGCCATTGAGTAGAGTAGGTACTTAAATTAAGCTGAATGAGAGAAAGTGGATAAAGAAGAGAAGGGGGCCAAGGACTGAGTCCCAAAGCACCCTAACCTTTGGAGTCAGTGTGAAAGAGGAGGAGGGGTTAGTATAGCAAGGCAGCAGGGGAGATAGCAGGAAGACCGGTAGAGTATGATATTTGGGAAACCAAGAAAAATTGATGTTTAAAGAAGGAAGAACTGATTATATTTTAAATGCCACTGAAAAGTCAGGGAAGGTAAGAACAGAGCAAGGACTTTTGGGTTTGGCAAGAGAAAGTAACTGGTAACTCTGGCAAGAATAGTCTCAGTGGTGAGGTAGGACTGAAGAGAGAATACGGGGTGAGGAGGTGGAAACACAGGCTTCAACAACTCCTACAAAAAGTTTTCCTGCCAAGAAAGGAAGGCAGGGTAGAGCTACAGAGAAATGGTGGTCAAGAGAGAGTTTGGGGTCTTTTATTTGAAGATAAGGAAAGAAAAACCCTAAGACCAGAGACCCATGCCGCTCTAGAGCCAGGAGATGCTGCCTACTCCTGCTCACTCATTTCAAAGGGGAGCAACTGAGGTCCAGAGACTCAGGGTCACTGCTGAAGAGCAGAGATGGTCCATATCCAAAACTAGACCACAGAATTCCTACCCCTCAAATGGACCTTGGAGACAGTAGGCCAGCTCATGAGGCTCTCAGATAAGGCACCAGGGCAGCCTGCCCCTTATGTACTGGTGCCACACTCTGCTTTTCTGCCCTGGTACACCTGCCCTTTCTCAGAAGCCTTTGTGGGTTCTGCAGGGGAGAAAAAGTATCTTTTCACCCATTGCTAGGTTTATGGCTGAGGCCTCTACAACGAAACACAGACTAACAAGAGAAAAGCACACAGATTTACTTAATATAAGTTTTACATGGCAAGGGACCCTTCAGAAATGAAGACCTAAAGAAACAGGGAAACCTGTGTATTTTTATACAGTCATGTGTCACTCAAGGATGGGGGTATGTTCTGAGGAATGCATTGTCAGGTGAGTTCATCGTCGTGCAAACATCGTAGAGTGTAGTTACACAAACCTGGATAGTGCAGCCTACTGCACACCTAGACTATAGGGTAGGCCTATTGTTCCCAGGCTACAACCCTGTACAGCATGTTGCTTTACTAAATACTATGGACGATTGTAACACAGTGGTAAGTATCAATGTATCTAAACATAGAAAAGGCACAGTAAAAATATAGTAGATTTTAAATGGCTCGCCTCTCTAGGGCTGCTCCATTGTAATATAACAGGGCCACTGTTGCATAGGAGGTCCATCATTGATTGAAAGTCATTACTCAGCCCATGACTGTACTTTGGTTTGATGAAGAGTGGACAGTCATGCAGAAGTGTGATTGGACGAAGGTGGTATGAACTTTTGGTAATAAACTAGAAGGACTTTAGCTACGCCTGCTTGTTCAGATTTTTCTCTGCATCCTTGTGTCTTCAGATATAAGGATATTTCCTTTCTTTAGATACAGGGAGAGTACCTCTCAGATGGGGGTCTTATGACCTATTTTGGAAGAGACATTTATTTTATGGCCTTCCTGCCTCTGCTGTTTTCTCAAATGCCAAGGTGTCATATTTTGGGTAGTGTGTCCTGAACCCCATCCATTCCCTGTCAGGGCCTGAGCAGACAGGCCTCTGATGTTAATGCTTTGGTGTTTTAGTTCACATCTTGCCCTTCCCTTCTTGGGGATCCTCCAGGAGGCTACAGTCAATGGCTGGTTACCTAGGACCAGAAAGAGTGACTCCAAAAAAAAAAAAAAAAAAAAAGTGACTCCAGATGAGAAGAGACAGATGGTTCACTCCCCTCTACAACTTGAATGGGCTGTATGGGCTGACATGGCCTCGTGGAGTCACCCTGGCCCTGAATCATGAATGATCATATGGCAAGAGCCCAGGATGGGACTGAAGAGATCTCAGTTGTAGTCCTGGCTCTGTTGGTACTCAGCCACGTGGTCTAAGTCTCTTTCCTCTCTTAGCCTCAATTTCTCCTTTGTATAAATAAAGGAGATCAGAACTTGTTTTCACTGGTTCCTTCCAGCTAGGTGGTTTTAGAATCAGTGGCTAACCTCCTGTAAGTTCCTAAGGAAGGAATGCCTCCATCACAGCCCCCAGGACCTGGTAACCTGCACCAATGTCTTTGAATGGACCATGATGCCACTGCCACTGCTCACTGGAAATCCTTATATCACACTCCTGGATGATTATTCCCAAGTTATTTGTGTTCTACTTCTATCCCTTTGGAGCCTGTTTGTCTTTCCAGTGTTCCACTTCTTTCTAAGCAAAGCCACTTCCTTGCCCAGGGATTCACCTCCTGCTACTTGTGCTCCTGAGGTCTAGCAAGACCCTTGTCTTCTCTTCAGGCCTCTTGCTATCATGGACCAATGCACTGGAGACCAAGACTCAGGATGATACAGTCACTTAATTTCTCAAAAGTATTATCTGAACTCAGCAGGCAGGCTCTTTCTTCAACTCTGTCAGAACCTGCAATTGTTGTTATTTTACTTGTTTTTGCTTTCGCTTTTTTTTTTTTTTTATAGGTGAGCGCAAAGGTCTTTTCCATTTCTCCTCCTAAAGAAAACCAAATAATATAATCAATTTGGCTAGCGCAGGGCTGATCCCAAGCGTTAAAGCAGGTATTTGTGGCTGATATGACGGGGGAATAAAGTGCTTGTGAAAACCAACTGATTAGTTCAGCAGTTGGGAATGAATCTGCGTCTGTGTTCATCGATCTCTCCTAATCTTTGTCAACACCTGTGTGTCCCACTTCTATGCCACTGCTGGACAGCATTGGGCCCTGAGACAGGCAATGGAGTGGGCACTGGGGGACTCTGAGGTGCTGGGCCAGGAGGCTGCTTAAAGGGACAGGCCTAGTAAAATGTGGGTGCATTAGGCAAACTGCTTTAGAGGAGAAATTCTAGGGCCCAGGAGGGACTCCATGCTCCCCCAAATGCCTCTTCATCTGTTCCCTGTTGAAGCCCACAAAGCAGGGCCTCTCATCCAATATGCTGCCCTGGGCAACATGATGCCTTGGACTGAATGAAGGGCTTTCCAAGAGCCTATAAAATTATGTTTGCAGCCTTGAAAAACTGGTTCTAAAATAAGAAAACGGCAAAATAAAAATTAATTAAACTTTAATCAAATGTTTGCAGAGTGTATTGTTGTGCCAACTATTCAACCACAACTCAACTCAGATATTTAAATATAAATGAGATTCCATGTATTCATGCACCAATGAGTTCATTTGTAATCTTCGATATGATATGGGTTGTAGTCATCCAAAGTAAGGAGGCACTGTGCCAGGGAGGAGAACACACTGGCTTAAACTGAGCCCCTCCCTGCAGTGTCACCACACATCCAGGATCCTGAGGTCACCAGCTACACATCAAGGAGCACACTGAGGAACCCGTGGAGCCCCTGAGAAAGAGCTATGGAAGAAAGATAAACCAATAGAAATTGCACTACTTTATGATTTTCACCACTTAACTTTAGATACATCTACCACATCCAAGTGACTGTGTTGACACATTGGGGCATAGTCCTTCCACTTAAAGACTTTATAATCAAAGAGAAAAATAAATATTTGCCTAAATATTTGCAATACAGGCACAGCCAGTGATGTGTACCTGTGAGTGGCTGAAATATAGAGGAGCAGTTTGCTTTAGGCAACAGAGATCAGGAGGTGAGCCAAAGCTAGTCTAAACTTGCCAACCCGTGGTGGCCTGGACAATGCCAATCCCATGACCTCCTTATTGCTCCCAGGGAAATCTAGTGTATCGAAAACTCTGAAGCTGATGCTGATTCTTTAGTACCACAGGCTGTCAGATCCTTAGACATACTTTGTGCCCAAGCCCCCGCCCCACCCACCCTAGTTCTTTTCCTGTCTTTTATTTATTTATTTATTTTTTTACCAGGGGAAAGCACGAACGCAGTCCCCCCACTAACATGAATTATGCAGTCGAGTTTCCCACATTTGGGGAAATTGCAGGGGTCAGCACATCCCGAGTGCAATGGATAAGCCTTGCCTTGGGAGAACCACCTTCATGATCATAGTATCTCCCTGCCAGGTAAATATTCCTGTCTTTTATATTCATCCTTTTTTGACTGGTATAATAATTCATAAAGATCACCCCTTTAAAGTATAGAATTCGCTGGTTTTTAGTATGTTCAAGTGGTGTAACTATCACCACTATCTGATTTCAGAACATTTCCATCACTCCAAAAAGAAACCCTGTACCCACAGAGTCATTTCTTTTGCCACACTGTCTTCAGTTGCCAGCAGCCACTCGTCTACTCTGTCTCTATAAATTCACCTGTTTTGGATATTTTATATAAATGCAATCACATAATATGTGGTCTTTGTGAGCAGTGTCTTTCATGTTGCTTAATGTTTTCAAGGTTTATCCATGTTGTGGCATGTATCAGAACCATATTCCTTTTTTTTTTTTTGCCAAATAATATTCCTTTGTGTGCATATACCAAATTTTGTTTGCCCACTTATCAACTGATAGAGTTTGGGTTGTTTCCAAGTGATCTGCCTGCTTCAACCTCCCAAAGTGCTGGGATTACAGATATGTGCCACTGAGACAGGCCATCCAGCACCATTTTTAAAAGGACTATTCTTTCCCTATTGAATTGTCTTGCCATCCTTATTGAAAATCAATGGACCATAAATGTAAGGACTGATTTCTGAACTCTCAATTTTATTCCATTGATACATATAGCAATGGGCTAATATCACAGACTTGATTATTGTAGCTTGTAATATGTGTTGAAATTAGAAAGTATGAGTTCTCCAACTTTGTTCTTTTTCATGAACATTTTGGCTATTCCAGGTCCCTTGCATTTCCATATAAGTTTTAGAATCAGCTTGCCAATATATGCAAAAATATAACTAGTGTTTGGATGGAGACTGTGCTGTATCTATAGATAAATTTGGAGAATACTGACATCTTAATATGAAGTCTCCTGATCCATGAATATTGGATCTTCCCATTGATTTAGATTTTCTTTAATTTTCTACATTTGTCTTGCACTTTATTGGTTAAATTTATTCCTGGGTATTTTACTGTTTTTGATGCTATTGCAAATGGAATTGTTTTCTTCGTATCATTTTTTGATTGTTCATTGCCAGTATGTAGAAATATAATTAATTTCTGTATATTAATTTTGTATTCTACAACTTTACTGAACTCTTTGATTAGTTCTCATAGGTTTTTTTTTTTGTAGCTTTTTAAAGAATTATCTATGTACAAGATGATGTCATATGCAAACAGATACTTTTAATTCTTCCTTTTCAATCTGATAAATTTTACTTCTTTTCCTTGCCTAATTGCACTAGCTAGAACCTCTAGTATAATGTGGAGTAGAATTGGCAAGAGTGGACATTTTCATTGTATTTCTGACCTTAGAGGATGAGCTTTCAGTTGTTTTTTTTTTTTACCATTAAATATGATGTTAACTGTGAGAGTTTTGTAGATGCTATTTATCAGCTAGAGGAAGTTCTAAGTTTATTGAGTGTTTCTATCATTAAAGGATGTTGGATTTTTGTCAAATGCATCTTCTATGTCTGTTGAGATGAGCATGTAGGTTTTGTCCTTTATTCTATCAATATGGTATACTACATTGATATATTTTCATATGTTAAACCAATCTTGCATATCTGAGATAAATTTCACTTCCAAGTCTTTTTTATTTGTTCAATGAAAGGCATGCACTTCCTTTACTACTTATTATTTAATTTGAGAGCTAGTCAGGTCAGATGAAAAGTAGAGCTCCTTAAAAAATCCAAAGAGAGGTAGAGCCAATGGGAGAGTAGCCTCCTCGGTCCGAGATTTTAAATTTTACAAAGGATTTTTACACTGCTGGCTTCTTGTCAGTCGCTTTTTGAATGGAAGTATTATACCTATTTAGACAAATGTGCCCCTGTTCATGGATCATTCCTTCCTTATCGCAGCAACAGACATACAGATTTTATATATATATTAATAATATATTTATATAATTTGTTTTTCAAAATGATGTCAGATAATCTGAAAAATTGAGAAAATAATCAACCATAGTAATCATACTGTTTCACCGACCTATGGATAGCTTTTGCGGGGGATGAGGGCCAGGTTAGGAGGTTTAACTTATGTACAGAAAAACATCACCTTTTTCAAGGAATACAGTTCTATGAATTTTAATAAACTTACACAGTCATGTAGCCAACACCACAATCAAGAGACAGAACAGTCTCATCAATCAAAAAAGTTTCTTTTGTGCTCCTTTGCAATCAGTCTCTTTTCTCCACATAAAGCTCCTGTCAACCACTGACCTGTCCTCTGTCTCTATAATTTTGCATTTTCCCAAATGTCATATAAATATTTAGAATAATATACGTATGTGTGTATATCCTCTTATGTCTGGCTTTTTCCACTTAGCATAATGCTTTTGGGGTTCATCTATGATGCATGTATCAGTAATTCATTCCTTTTTATTGCTGACTAATTTCCACCGTATGGATATACCACAGTTTGGTTATCCATTCTTCAGTGGATGAACACTTGAGTTGCTTTCATTTTTTGGCAATTATGATTAAGGTGCTATAAGCAGCTTTACACATACACATACAGCCTTTTGGTATGCATGTGAATATTCTCCTTGATAATATTCTCTTTCATGTTTGTCGGGTAAATAGGAGTGGGATTGCTAGGTCATATGGTAAGTTTATGTTTAGCTTGATAGGAAACTGCGCAGTTGCTTTCTGAAGTGGCTGCACCACTTTGTCGTAATACCATCATCCCACCAGCAATGTATGGGGGTTCCAGTTGGTCACAAACTTGTGAGTACTTGGTGCGGTCAGTTTGTTTCTTTGTTTTCAAAAATTGTATTCATTCTGGTAGATGCACAGTGATCTCAAAGTATTTTTGATGTGCTTCTATTTTTTCATATGTGCATGTTTTTCACTGGAAATCCAAGTTTATATCCAATTTTGTATACAACTTTTTCATCTAATATTAAAGGAGCCCTTTTCCACATGGTCATCATTTTAAGATGGACTAATATTCCACTGAGTGGATGCAACACAAGCACCTCTTCTTGGTGTTGAGTTGTTTCTGATTTTTGTTGCTATAAGCCACACTGCAATAGAAACATTTACATGTTAGTTTTTTATCTTTTAGAGTAGTCCCACAGGTTAGAGTCTCAGAAGTGGGATTCCTAGGTCAAAGCGTATAAACATTTTGATGACTTCGGATTGCTTTTTGAAAGGGTTTTATCTTTTTATGAGATCACCAGGAATATTCAACAAAAACAGTTTCAGGACACTCTTGTCAATATTAGAAATTTTTATTAAAAATGATTTTTTAAAAAGTACACAAAATGATTATTTCTTTAAATTTACATTTACTTGGTTTCTAGTGAAGCTGAACATTTTTTCAATATTTTTGCTCACTGGTCGTGTTTTCTATTCTACAAATTATGCTGATGTTCTTAGCTTGTTATTGGAACTTGATATTTTCTTGTAAATTAATATGATCATTTTAAATAACAAAGATATTAACCCTTTGTCACAATAGCTATGAATGTTTTTTCAATCTCTTGGTTGCCTTTTTTTTTTTTTAAACATACAGAAGTGTTTTGTTCTTCTATATAGTCAAATCTGTCACTTTCTTCCTCTGAGGGTTTCTATACTGCTTCTAAGCTTAGAAAAATCATTTTCATCCCTCTCCTGAAGCTTGATAAATGGTCAATTTAATTTTCTTCTAGATTTTCTTGAGGTTTAAAAATAATTATCTCTGTAGCATATAGAGTTTATATTGATACATAATGGGATATAAGACCCTAAGAAAGATATTTTTCAACATGATATAATAATTTTTTTTTTTGACATGGAGTTTCACTCTTGTTGCCCAGGCTGGAGTGCAATGGGGCGGTCTTGGCTCACTGCAACCTCCACCTCCTGAGTTCAAGTGATTCTCCTGCCTCAGCCTCCCAGGTAACTGGGATTACAGGTTACAGCCGCCACCATGCCAAGCTAATTTTTGTATTTTTAGTAGAGATGGGCTTTTACTGTGTTGGTCAGGCTGGTCTGGAACTGCTGACCTCAGGTGATCCGCCTGCCTCGGTCTCCCAAAGTGCTGGGATTACAGGCGTGAGCCAACATGCCTGGCGCATGATATCACAATTTAAGTAAAATATTCTATAAAGGCACTAAAAGATTGAACCTAAATTCATCTTAATGTGATGACATGTTAATTTTGTATTGTTTCCTCCCTACAGGGCTTATTAATAAACAATGGCTGAACTCTAAATGCTGACACAAGGGAGGGATATAGAGGAGGCCGATGGGGTAACCACAAACCCGGAGGCTAAACAGGTCCCCATTTCAAATCAGGGGCCAAAGGTCACATACTTCTCCCCACTCCCTGAATGTCTATTCCATTTGGCCACATTTTCAAAACCCCTATCTTCCCCTCCCCAATGTGGATAATTGCAGGCTTGTATCAGCTGCTTCTCCGGGAACAGAAAGTTGCTCCTTCTGCACCCAGTTGGAACTCATTTGGGGAACGCTAGTATTCAGGTTCTCAGTCTGTTAGACCAACCCTCGCTGACCTGTTCAGCTCCATAATACACCATTATCTAATCCATTTTTGATGATATCAGAAACAGATTATAACTCTCCTGCCTCATTAATCCAGCAGAGGTAACCCTTTCCAAGTACTGTGCAATTTTATAATTGACTATGTCCTTCCTCCACTCTTTGGCAAAATATTGGCAAATTAAACAAATTTTTTAAAACAAAAAAAAAGCCCATTCCTCAGACAGAGGCCTTCTGTATGAGGAGGAGCCTCATTGTTGCTCCCATTTTGAACAGATAGAAAAAATGTTTCATTTTTCAGTTATGCTAGGGCAAAGCCATCCAGCAAAAAATCGACTTGGAAGCCCCAAAGAGCATGGGAGTGAGAGACAGCAGCTCACTGAGCCGCAGCTTCTCTCTTCCGGGTCCCCATCCATACGAACAGTGACCGGGCCTCCTTCCATGGCTGATGCCCTCATCTCCTCCCTGAGGGTTGAGGTGTGAGCCGCAAGGGC